AGAGTAATGGCTGCTCTGCATTTTCTATTGACTACTGAGAAAGTAGTAATGCCTTTCTGAAAGGTGCAATGATCTTTAAAATTGATCTTCACAAGGCTTTTGATAGTGTTGATTGGACTTTTCTCCAGTTGGTACTACAAGACTTTAATATACCAGCTCCTTTGATAAGGTTGATTATGTTCTCAGTGTCCTCTTTACAACTTTCAATCCTTTGGAATGGAGAACAATTACCACCTTTTAATCCTCAACGAGGCCTACGGCAAGGAGACCCACTTTCTCCTTATTTGTTCATCATGTGCATGGAAAGGCTATCTCACAAGATACAAAGCAAGGTGCACTCCAAAGCATGGAAGCCATTTCGGATATCCAGAGGAGGATTTGCTCTCTCACACCTGTTTTTTGCCGATGATCTCATGCTTTTCAGTGAGGCTTCTAACCAACAAGTTGAAGTAATCATGGGTTGCCTTACCGAATTCTCTCATGAGTCAGGGCTTGATATCAACTTAACCAAGTCCAAGTTATATGTTTCTCCAAACATACAAAGGCAGGTTGCTGGAAATCTAAGTGCAGCTTGTGGTATTCCCCTAACAATAGACTTGGGTAGATACTTGGGAGTCCCAATTCTGCATGGCCGGTCTTCAGCTTCTACCTACAAACTTATCTTGGAAAAAATTCAAGTGAAATTGGCTGGCTGGAAACAGACTTTGTTAAGCATGGCCGGAAGAAGAGTGTTAGTACAAGCTGTGACTTCGGCCATTCCCTCCTATACAATGCAGTCCATTTTGTTGCCAAATAGCATATGTGCAGCCATCGACAATCTGAATAGAAAATTCTTATGGGGCTCTGACGTTGCAAACAAACAACACCTTGTTAATTGGAGAACAGTATGTAGACCAAGGCATCTTGGAGGCTTGGGCTTACGTTCTGCTAAGGAGAACAACCAGGTCTTGATCTCCAAATTAGGCTGGCAATTGATCTCTAACCAAAACAAGCCTTGGTGCAGGGCTCTCTCGACTAAATATCTGAAAGGTGAGTCCTTGATACGCTGCCCCATCTCATCTACCGCCTCAGCCACTTGGAAGAGCATCTTGAAATGCAGGAATATTTTGCAATTAGGCCTGCGGTGGAGAATTGGTGATGGACAGCGAATTAAGTTTTGGCAGGACATTTGGGTGGGTGACAAGCCTTTATACGAAGTCGCTCTTTCCCCAGTGTTACCTGCTCTTATGGATACCCCAGTTTCACACGCCATTAACTCAACTCGAGACTGGGATGCGGATTGGCTTAGAAATCTCCTCCCTAACAATGTAGTTGCTCAAATCTTGGCAACTCCAATTCCAGCATTTCAACAACAAGAGGATATAGTGTTTTGGAATGGCTCACCAGATGGTACTTTCTCTGCTAAGTCGGCTTTCGAACTGTTGCAACAACAGCAAGTTGTTTTAACTCAGCAAGGGGAGAGTTGGAGGTGGATATGGAAATTACAATGCATAGAGAAAATTAAATTGTTTGTTTGGCTGCTTTGTAAAAACAGAGTGCTCACAAACAGTGTCAGATTCGCAAGACACTTTGCTGCAACTCCAATTTGCCCGAGATGCGAGCAGAGCCCAGAAACCCCACTTCACCTATTGCGTGATTGCTATCACTCACGTTTATTTTGGGAAGCTGCTCCTGTGTTACCTCCTGACTTTTTCATGCTGGACTTTAATGAATGGTTGCGGAAGAATGCACAAACTTCAATGACTAGTGCTGCTTCACGTCATAACTGGTCTACACTTTTCTTATCTGCCATTTGGGTGATCTGGAAGAATAGAAACGCTCTTATTTTTGACAATCAAAGAACTCCCCCCCATATCCTATTGCAACATGCTTCCTCCTTAGCTCGAGACACAAGCTTGGGGCTGGCCACAAATATTCTTGCTCACCCTCGCCTACCTAGGTGGGTAAGATGGTCTCCTCCTAATTTCCCTTTCCTCAAATTGAATACAGATGGGGCTATGAGTCAAGCATCGGGAAATGCTAGTGCAGGAGGTCTCATTCGAGATCATGGAGGGCAGTGGCTACATGGCTTTGCGATTAATATTGGGCCACAAACTAGCTATATGGCGGAGCTTTGGGGTTGTCGCGCTGGCCTCCGGTTAGCTCTCGAGATGGGTCTCACCCACCTAGTCCTTGAAATGGATTCCTTGTTGGCGGTGCAGGCAATATTGGCAAGGAAAACCGGGGATGGCCCAGCTTCAATACTTCTGTTGGACATCTTCCACCTTGTCAATTCCTTTGAGGTTTGCACGGTGCAACACACTTTGAGGGAAGGAAACGCAGCAGCTGACTACATGGCCTCTATTGGACAAACTCTCACCCAGGGCACTAGTTTTTTTCAATCTCCACCGCCGGGTATCAGGAGCATCCTCCATGAAGACAGCATAGGCACTTTGTTCCTTAGGACTTAGCGTTGTCTTGCTTCTTCTGTACCAAAAAAAAAAAAAAAAAAGTAATGCCTTTCTAGAAAACGTAAACCGTGTAGACAGCACCAACAGTAAAATATAATGCGGTGTTCCAACTTTCCTCATTTTAGTTGAGAAAGAGAGGATAACTAGTCAGGAAAGCACTAAGAATAATATAAGGAAAACTAATTAGGAATAAGTGGAAGACTAACTAACTGGGAAAATTAGAAACATGGAGGTATTAACTTAAAAATAGGATGTTTTAGAATTTTTTTAATGAGAGTTTATTGAAATTAGTAATTTAAGACTTTTTTTAAAAAAAATTTTAAAGACCTGGTTGATAAATACTTTCTTCCATATATGTTAGGCTCTAAAATTGGGCATTATGCACAATTCGTTTAATTAATGGTTAAATTAGTGAGTACTAGCGAGTCTGATAAATTAGGGGGTATACTAGTCATTTTACTTATTCCATTGATTTTTTTTACTTCTGTACCATTATACCACCTCTTATTATTTTTTCATATGACACTATCTTTTAAAGTATCCCCTCATTTTTTTATTATATTTATCATTCTAAGTTATATCTACACTCACTTTTCTTTTCTATATTAATATTATTTGTCATATTCTTTCTTTTCTATCCTTCCTTCTCTACTATTCTTCCTTAACCACCCCTTTCATTATTCCCAAAATAATTATATTTTTTATTTTGAAAAAATAATTTAAATATCCTCTAATTGGAGACATCGCCAACACCCATCCAATTAACCTATAAAATATAATATAAGTGAAACTAATTCAACTAATTTCTTTGTATTATATCGATGGTTAAATCTTTAAATTTTTTGGTTTTTAATTCCAAACTAAGAAATATTAATTTTTTGAAGAGTATGATATAAAATGTATTAAATGAAAAGGCATTTGTATCCATGTCCTTTATTTTGAATTTGTTTTAAATTAATTATTATTTTTTTATTTTTTAAAGTAGACATATTTTTTTACTTTAATCATATGATTATTTATTTATTTTAATTATTCATCCTATAACAAAAGTTTATGTTTTATGTTTTATCTTTTTAAAAAATAATATAAATATATAAAAATTATCCCTAAATCTTTAATTTGAAAAAAAAAAAAAAAAAAAAAAAAGAAGTGGCCACTATTTTAAAACAGGGAGTAGGAAAAGTGGAAGACTAACTAACTACGAAAAGGTGGGAACAATGGAAAGCTGACCTAATGCTGTTGGGAATATATTAGTATTTATCTCTTCCACCTCTTAAAAATTAGAAATTAGGAGGAAATTATTTTATTCATCTTACAATATTTTTCATATCATAATTTTAAAATAATAAAATGCAAAATAGTATAAAAAATAACTTTATTAAAAAACTCACAAGATATTCATATTTTACAAGTCAAATTATATATTAAAAATGTAGTTTAGATATTAAAATTATTAAATTATTGTTAATAAAATAATATAAAAAATAATTTCATTAAATATATTTTAAAATTTTTAATATTCAAACTATATTTTTAATATAAGATCTAACCTATAAAATATTTTTTTAAAATAAAATTAAAACAAAAGTAAGGACATTTTAACTTTAAATTTCAAAAAGAAAAAGGGTTAAAAAAAACAGATTGGAGACCAGCTCTTGTGGGAGAGTCGGTTTCTTTGAAAAAAAAAAAACCCTATTACAACGAAGAGTCTCCAAATCAAGAACTCTCCGATGAAAGGGAATATACCCTATTGAAGCTGCTCTAATAACCTCATTGATGCACTTGAAAAGAATTCTAACACTAAACCTTGTATTCAAATTAATATCATATACATTCAAGCTGGAGCCGGTTTTGTGAATTCAATCAAACCAATCAAATATTACTGCTGTATCATCTTTTTCATCAAATTTTGATTGAGGTGCTTCTACAGTTCTGCTTTGTCACTGCTGCAGTTCTTTGCCACTAAAATGGCACTCAATCCCAAGTTTCCGTTTAATGGAAAAATGATTTGAAAAAGTATGAAACATGGTCCCTAGAGGAATGTGGAGCGTGGCCCGCAAGTTCGTTGAGAATTGAAATCACCAGCATGTAGGTCGTAGTAACATGCTGCCCTTAGCACGGTGAATCGTAAAAAGAGACGGTCCAGTGGCAATAGATTTTCTTAAGAAAAAAATTGAGTATTTTGATTAGATAAAAAAAAAAAAAAGGGAGGAAAATACAAGGCATCATATTTAAGAGAAATTGATTTGACCATATGAACGTCTATCCCCAATCAGAAATACAAATTAAAGATTTGGCTTATGGAATCACCCTGAATTCCCCAATGGATCGGAGAAGCATTATGCCTGTGACTGCTGCTTCAACACACAATCCAATAAGTCATCATTGAAGCATACTCTACATCATCAGAGGGGGGATGGAAACAAAATATTATTTGCTTAATACAACTTTCTTAATTTATCTTATTGGAGAGAGAATAATATAATCACATCTGCCCGTCGGTCTGGTTCTCATCTTCCAACCCTGCATTTGATGTGTTCAAAACTTGGTTTACGTATTCTGCAGTGTAAAATAGAAAATTGGTTTTGACTTTTATATAAAGGATAATACATCAAACATATGCAGGGTAGCAAATCATGGACATGGTTTAATCAACCATTAGTAAAATCAAAGGCATAGAAATAGCACCTATTTTCTCCCACAAGACCAAAAGTAGCAACCATATAGAAAAAATCAATCATGTTCATTTACAATATTGAAACAAGATGTTCAAAGCATCCCCTGATAGAGGAAATAGATTGTGTGTGTTGGCCTAAGAAGATACAGCATTTTGGGAAGACAGCAGGTTTATACAAGAACTAGTAATAGTAATCTATAAAAGGACCCGGTAGATATACCAGTAGAGCCCCCCATTTCTACACTAAAACTCAGTCAATAAATGCAATGGGTGACAGATTTTCATATTATATTTAAGAGAGAATAGATTTCATTTTGGGCTTTTTTTTTCCACCTTGACCTTTTTTTGACTTTTTAGGCAACCTTCGGGATTTCTTTTCCAAGTTGCTTGATGGGTTGGCCGGGGGCATTGTTCCTTTTTTTTTTGTTTCAAGGCAAGAGGAACTTCAACTGGACAATTGACAAGCATCCCAACAATAAGCAGCTGGCGTCTTGATCTCTGAAAGAATAAGTGAAATCCATTTTTCAGTTAAGAGAGCTCCATCTTTTAAAGATATTCAAAATGAATCGGACTGAACAAACCTTTTGCAGTAGCACAACAAGTGCCTAAGTGTCTAAAAGCAATATACAACCAGGTAAACTGTTTATGGCAACCCATCTATATACCACTCAGTGATAAGGTGAGTTTTCCCCATTTCTTCAGTGATCCTTCAAAAAAGTCAAAGGAGATGAAATCAATAAAACACTCAAGAGGCTTTCAAAAAGAACAAATAAAATTTAAGACGACTAAAAGAAGAGTGCTAATCCCATATAGGCTAAATGGCAAATAAATTTCAAAAAGCGATATGTAACATCCAGGATGAATAGAGAGCAACACACAATATTACACAATATTACACGATATTACCTTGGACGTGTGAAAATAACAGAAACACATAAGGCCTGCATTAACTACTTTACTAAATTCCATTACACTTTAACTCATGAATCTCTTAACAATAAAGCAGTCTCTATAGACTATGGTTACTACTGGCCCAGAGTAACAGAAGTGTTGGTGAGTGCACAAAGCAAATGAGAAAGAAAAAGTTAATGAGATCCTTGCCAATAAAAAAATAGTCAATGAGACACACCATAAATACATACCTCTAAATTACAATCCACAAAAGAAACTGACTAAATGAGAATGGAAGATCGACAAAAGAATCTATATTGTTACAATCTATTATGAAATGTGTCACACATCATATTGCAAAATGACCTAAAAGGTTAAAAGCTGAGATTACTGCATCATCTGCAATAGTGACTGTCAACGTTAGACTGCTCAGCAATAAAAGCAAGCTAGATTCAAATAACAGAATAACTTAAGAAAGTTTCCATTATTCATTAGTTGACCAAGAGCAAGCAGCATTACCAGAAATGAACCACGAACGAGTTGGAAGAAATGCAAAAGGAAACAAGGAAAAGAAATCTTTTATATGTTTAAACTGTATTCTAGAAAGCATGTATAGCCAATAGCTACTTAGAATCTTAGACCATTAGAAGAACTCCTATACAAAACATTTCTGAACTAATTAAAGCAAGTTACATAAGGAATCACCTGGAGTTACATCAATAGAGGACGCATTTGTGACAGTGATTGCTGCATCAATACGTGACCCATACTCGTTAACATTCCATGACTAATATGGAAATCTCCCATAATAATTTTCCAGATTGCCTTGAGCCTCTCTTGTTGAGTTTCTGGTCCCAAAAATGAGATGAGTTTCCTGAGACTAACTTTGTTGAAACAAATTCTACATCACCGGAAGGGGTGAAAAGAAAAAATTCATCAAGATAAATACTACATTAATGACAGCAGGTGAAGACTCTTTTTCCCATTTCAACAATAACTCTTTGGCTTCGGCAGCTAATTAGGTAACTGAATATCAGAGTCAACAGAACAAGCAAGTACTTCAGCCATGATAAGAGAAAACCTCCTTTGAGTATGCTTGTAGAATATACCATCACTATGCAAAAATATATATTAATATAGTTTATACAATTCAGAGTTTAAATAAACGTTTATGAATAAGAGCATATGATATATAAGCTCATTAATACCTTCCTTCAATATATGCAACTTGGAAACATACAATGCGTAAATGCTAATGTACATATTTTGTTTCAGAGATTCTGATTTCATTAGGAACAAACATTTTATTTTGATCTTAGCAAGCAGAAAAAAATTTATCTGATTTTTGAGTTTACACAAAAGACTACATACCATCCAGTTAAGTAATTAAGCAAAAATCATCAATTTATCCAATCCTTACCCACTAAGCCTGCATTCGGAGTTGCTTTTACTTTTAAGCAATATTTTTTATATTTTATAGTAATTTTATATATAAACACTATTCTTCTAAAAAAAATTATTACATGTTAACACAATTTTTGTGATAAAGAATCATGTACCAAACTGCAAAAGATATACGGTTAGATAGAATAGGCCAGCTCCTATTCAACTCAACGGTTTGTGAAAATATGAAAAAGTCATTGTCACGACACTATACAGGATTCCCAATCACAGAACAATATAAGAGTTTAAAATCCAAAGTGAAAACTGAAAACACACAAAAAATAAAAATAAAAATTACAGCTTCTTACCCTTTATATGAATCAGATCACCTGGCAGAGAATAAACCGACAGATACCCTTTATAAGTGCCGACGGCCACTACCCTAATCTCGTTAAAAACCAGGAACTCAAGGACAGGTCAGGTCGGATCTTGACTCTGAGTTCATCCGGATCAGTCAATCAGACCATCCAAGGACGAGAAATAGACTTCAGTCGGCAATGTCAAGAGAGCGGGTGTCCAGAGCGCAAAGGACAGTGGGGTCATCCGTCGGCCGTCCCGACCAGATCCGACATCACTGAGCCCCTCACAGGCGATGCAATTGCAAATTTGCAATCCATATCCTTCGGATGCGTCCATTTCGGCATTGACTGGAATTTCAATCTCAACGGCTCGGAGAGAAGTACTGTCAAAGGAAGAAAATAATGGGTCCACATATTAACAAAATACATATTCATTTCTTCAATTAAAAGGCACCGTTAAAAAGTAAAGGAATAAAAGAAAAGTGATAACATAACATAAAAACATCCGGCAAACATTGAACATGAAATAATAATAGTTCATATAAAACAAAATAACAATCACGGAAAGAAAGGCAACTGCCTGCAGCTTCTGCTGCCAACTAATTAAGTTCATGCACACATTATTTTTGTCAGATCTTCTTGGAGGAAGAGACAAAGCCAACTGCCTGCAGCTTCTGCTGTGGAAAAGAAAGGAAAATAACAAAAATTATTATTACTATCTATCCATTGTTTAGCTTGGAAGGAGCAAAAATAACAGAGGCTGTAGAAACTCACCTAAGAGCGTTGGTTGGGTTTTTGGGTTTTTCTCTTCTTACGCCTGCAGATCCATCTTCCAACAAATTTCTCTTGATATTTCTCCACCTTCTTCACCACCCACCATGGTTTCCCTGTTGTGAACACGATATATCCCAGACTAAGTCCCAATAGCAGTCCGCACCCACAGCCCGCCAATGCAAACTTCCACTCAAAGAGTGCTGCAGAGTCATCTTCTTCATCAAATTTTGATGGAGGTGCTCCTGGTTCTTCCTCCTCGTGGCATTTCTTTGTCAATGGGAATCCACACAACCCAGAGTTCCCAATGTAGGAATCATTTGAGAAAGTATTGAACTGCTTACCTTGAGGAACCTCACCTTCAAGTTTGTTGTGTGAAAGGTTCAAAACTGAAAGAAATGTCAAACTTGTCAACTCCTCAGGAATCCTACCATCAAGCTTGTTTGATGAGAGATCTAGTGATTCAAGTTCTGTCATTTTGCCCAAAGATGATGGAATTTGACCAGTGAGACTGTTGTGAGACAAGTTTAGCAAGTGAAGTGAATTGAGTTCTCCCAGCTCTTTCGGAATGTGTCCATGGAATCTATTACTTGAAAAATCAATAGTTGAGAAAGTTGTCAGGATTTTCTTCAGCTCCACCTTTGAACCTTTCATTATTATTCTCACCGAATCGAGATAGAACAATCTAGACGGTTTCCAAAGGATTACCACATTACTACCAATATATTCGAAATTGGCTTCATCTTCATGTACATCTCTCTTACCTGTCAAATTTTTGAAATAGATACTCGGTAGGAGACCCGTGAAGTCATTCTGTGAGACATCAATGACTCTCAACTCAGAGAAGTAAAATGCAGGCATAGTGTTGTTAATGGCACCGTGAAATCGATTAGATTGAAGGATGAGAACTTTTAGCGATGGAAGAACACCTAACCAATGTGGAAAGGTGTCATTCAAGTAGTTGTTCCCAACATCTAGAACTTCCAAGTCTTTGCAATTTACCAAAGATGATGGCAGTCTCCCTTCCATCTGGTTGCCATTTAGGTTAAGAGTTCTCATTTCACTCCCTTTGACAAAAGAATTTGGTATTATACCATGAAACTTATTCATCTGCAAATCCAAGATGTTGAGATATTTAGTGTTTCCAAGACATTTTGGGATTTTTCCTCCCAAACTATTATTAGCTAAGTCCAGAATTGTAAGATAAGTCAAACTGCAATAAGAAGAAGGGATTTCACCAGTCAAATTATTCCCTGAAATGAAGAGTTGTATTATTCTAGCATCCAATGTTGCTGTTAGAATGGGAAGTGATCCTTGTAGTAAGTTGGATCTGAGGTCAACAGTTACAAGATTTCCAAAACCAAATGAATCTATACCAGTCAAGAAGTTATAAGAAAGGTTTAATGTGTTCAATGTCATCCCTTCTATTTCCCATTTGTGAATTTGACCAGAAATCTTGTTCTTGGAAATATCTAATATTTGCAAAGTCTTTGCCTTCCTTACGAAACTTGGGAACTTTTGTATGTTGCAAGAAGATAATATTAAATGCTGAAGGTTTGGAAAGGAATAGTTGACACTAGTGTCATTATTGCTCAAGGACAGCAAACTATTATTGGAAAGATCTAGATCCCAAAGGTTTACAAGTTTTGAAAGCATGTTGGCTGTAATGGTGCCACTTAAATTATTTGAAGAAAGGTCAACGCAATGAAAATTCACAAGATGAAAGAAAAAGCTAGGAATTGAACCGCTTATCTCATTATTGGACAAATAGACTTCTTGTAAATTGAGATTTGGCATCTCAACATGATCAATAGGTCCGGTAAGTCTGTTGTTTCGGAGGTCTAAATATGATAAAGAAGGCAGAGAAAACAACGAAGATGGTACACGACCTGTGATGAAATTATTATCCATTTGAAACTCATATAAAAATGAGAGTCCACTTATATTGTGAGGAAGAGGCCCTATTAGCTTATTTGATGACAGTATCAAATGAGTAAGATGGGTGAGATTGAAGATTGATGTAGGAATTTCACCATCAAAACTGTTATTGTAAAGGTTCACACAAGTTAGCTTGGGCATTTTTTCAAAAACATCTGGAATTTGCCCTTGCAAAAGGTTGGAATCAAAGTCTAAGTAAGCTATCTTGGTAAGATTTGTAAGAGATTTAGGAATTGATCCATAAAATTGGCAGTGATAAAGGTTCAATTCCTTTAAGAGTTTAAGATTTCCAATTGAATGAAGCAACTCTCCTGAGAAGTTTGTGCTTGCAAGATTCAAATACTCGAGGGTACTACTCTGGTTTGATTCAGGCAAATTACCTCTTAAATGAGAGTTTTCGCTTAATTCAAGAAGCTGGAGAGATGGAAGCTGAAAGACTTGGTTTGGAAAGTTCCCTTGCAAATTACAAGAGCCAAGGCTCAAATGCTCCAAGGAAGAAGTCAAGTTTAGCAAGGAAGAAGGCACAACCAGAGACATATCCACAAAATCAAGGATAAGAAACCTTAATTCTGTTAAGTTATGCACAAGTATTTGAAACTTTATGTTGTCAAGAAGCAAACCATAAGTACCAGAGAGATCGAGTGAAACCAATTTCGATAGCAAGAAGATCTCATCAAACAGGAGAGAGCCATCCATATATCCTGAATCTGCAAGGTTAAAGATTTGTCACATTAGAAGAAGTGAAACCAATTTTGGAAGCCTGGAGATTTTAAACAAAAGAAAAAGAAATGAAATCTCATACGTGAAAGATTAAGATATGTCAAAACTCTTCCAACGGTCGAACCCAAAAGAGAGATTGGGGTAGCTAAAATTGTTGTAAGCAAGGTTGAGGCTCTGCAATTTCTCAAGGCGGAAGAGACTATTATTTGTAGTTAGATTGGCTTCAAGACAATTACTGCTAAGATCAAGGCCAATCACGTGACCTTTCATCTTGTTGCATGTGATGCCTTCCTACAGGCAGCAATCTTTACTCTCGTTCCAAGTTTGTATTATAGGACGAGGACCACCAATACAGTATACCGCCAAATCAGTAGTGCTTTTGAAATGAAGCAATGCAGAACGCTCTTCAGGAAGGCACAAATGTGGCGGTGAAACAAGAGAAGATTGAGAATGTGAGGAGCTTTGGACTCGAAACTGTAACAACATGAAGGAAAGGCAGAGGATTTGGGAAAACCATATTAACCTTCCCATTTTCTTAAAAATGAACGCAATCGGGAAACAAAGGAGTGATGGATTATTCAAAATTGTAGGGCTAGACACAAGAATTTATAGTCTTCCCAGCAGTGAAAGTCCTTTTTCGAGTTACGTGTAAATTTTTTTAGGACGGTCAAATTTTTTATTTATCTTTTTATAAAAAAATAATGTTCACACAATTAAACATTCTTTTATAATTTAATAAAACTATTTTTGATATTACACATAATCAAACTTCTTTTTTATTATTAGTTCACATAATTAACTTGAAGTGAGGATTGTAGATCGGTATAATACGTGTTAGAGCACCATGCTTCAAAATCAGTTAATAGTTGCATTTAATGTTTTGATAATTTTTGCATAGCACGACTCTTCGACTTGTTATTATAAAGTTAGTTCTCTTCAACTTGTTATTATTCTTGGTGTTAGAATGCATGGCATGACTCTTGTATGTATTAAATGAAAATGAAAATAATATAATTATAGTACTATGTGGCATTGTAAATTTATAATACAATGTATTATTCTATAATTAATTCTTTTTATTTAAAAATTCACATGTAATATTTTATCCACTCACTTATTTAACAATGCATTATAATTATATATTTATAATTATATAATACTGCAACTATAGTATTATTAAAATAAAATATTTAACAAAAATTACATAGAGAAACATAACCCAACGTAAAAGTTAGAATGCTCCATTTTCTTATAATAGTATAAAAAAATTCATCTAATTTGTAAAAGGAGCGGAGATATAAGTTTCTAACATTTTTTCTGTATTTGTTTTACTTTTATGATATAATATATCTTCAAATATTGCCTAACAATATAATAATCAGCACTAAGTCAAAGTTCCTCATAATTTACAAAACAAGGTCTAAAGTAATACTAATATGAAAGAAAGATGCTTTCAAACTGAGAAGATTTTCGGTATATGGAAAGTAACGTTTTTTACGAATTGTACTTATATATCTAAATCAACATTATTAAGCCACAAAGTGAATAAAGCCTCAATGCAACGCCCTGTCTATCAAGTCTCAATATTTCTCATTAGCCAATCAACAAGGTAGCTGATGGTCTGATTCCAACAATAGGAAAAACCTAAATAGCTTTCGCATTACAATGATTTTAATTTCTAGTTAGGTACAACCAGACGATCTCATGTGGGGAAGAAGACATTAGTTATTGTGGTGGAAATGAGTAGATGCTTTCATTAGAAAGTTCAACGAAGGAGAGTGATTCTAAGAAGAAATGCATGAACCTTGGAGTACCTTGCGAGGAGAATGGAATTGGAGAATCTTGAGGACAAGGATAAATAATATATATTTTTTAACATGATAAGTATACAATAAATTTTTTTTTAATTTTTACATAAGATTTGTTTTTTTTAATTTGTGCCTAAGAATATTAAAAGAATAAAAAGTAATATTTAATTTATTAATTATCTAATTAAATTTATTTATGTGATAATAACACTAAAATTAAAGTCAATTTTTATATTTTTCTATATAAATTTATAATAAAAAATATATTTAACAAGTGCTTGAAATGCATAAGTTAAAAAAACTCTTTTATATAATAAACTACACAATAAAAAATAATTTTTAGTTGATTCACTCCTAATCCTTTTAGTTTTCTTACTCCATCAACTTTATGTTAATTAAGACTGTTAACATAGTTTTGGTTTTGGGTTTTGAGTTTTATATTTTATATACATATAGTAATTATTATTATATTTAGAAATCATAACTTATCATAAAAATTTGAATTTATTAATGTAATTTAAATATATTATTAGTTATTAAATATATAAAAAATAAAAATTAAAAACTAAAATCATATTAAATGGAACTTAATTTCATGATTTTATTTAACAAATGAATAAGGAATTTTTTTATTTAAATAAAATATTGAACAAATACTATATTAAAAAAATTAATTCTCATATATTTTTTGGCCCTCATAGTGTAACACTGCAAGTGTTATGTTGCCGATCAAAGCAAACTGTTTTAGTTTTCCAAAAGACCTTTTAAGTGCTGCGTAATTTGATCCGTTAATTAATCAATTCATCTCACTAGGAAAATTTTCTTAAAGCCACTGAGGACATTTAGAAAAAGAGCAATGCGTTGACTTGACACAACCAAAACCAATAAATATTGACAATAATGCCGTGCTGCCGACTTGAAAAAGAATTGAGGTGCACAGCAAGCACCCACAACTTTTACGGTGGAAAGCATCTATGTGGAATGTATGGCTTTCTTGAGGATAACAAAAAT